GGCAAGGCAGCCATGGAGGGGCTAGGACAGTGGGGGGGGCTGGGGGGCTTGTGCAGAGCCCCCCCATGCAGTGTGGGGCAGTGGGAGGCAGCAGGGATTGCTCCCACACCCAGCAGCACCCAGTGAGTCGGGGTTCTTTTTTTCAAAGTGCTGGGAGCTGGGGCCTGCGAGCCAGCCATTGCCAGAGCTGGGAGAGTGGGTGGGGGATGGGCCTGGGTGGTTCGGAGATTCAGCAGCAGCTGAGTCTCTGAATCAGATTCGGATGACTTGATTCGGGACTGACTCAAATCACTGAATTGAATCACTGTCCCCCGAATCAGCCGATCCAAATCTGAAGTGAATGCTAGCCGCTTCGCACAGGCCTATTGCCCACCCCTGGAGTAACTGCAGCTTGCCTCATTGTGTGCATATTGGATACTGTTCTTGGACTGCCAGCTCTGTGGAGCCCCATTTGAAATGGCTTGCCAATATGACATTGATTCATTTAAAGTTTCTTTTTGCTTGTGTTTATTTCAGTCAATTGTGTGTCCACCTAACAGTAATTTTGTCAGTAATGTATATAGGTAGATTAGAGGAACAGAAATACAATGGCAGTAAAAGAGGTTTGGGGGTGAAGAAGGGGGCCAATTGGCTGTTCTCACAGGTTATAATTTTAAATGCTTTTGTATCTATTCATTTCCTTTTGAAAAATCAAAGGGCAAAACTTTGCCTTCAGAATTTGCTATGCTGGGAAGGGAGCTTTATAACTAAGAACAAATTAGTTCCTAATGCTACCAAAAGAAATGATTCTAAAACTAGGTGTGTTCCAAAAACATTAAAAAGTCTAGATTAACAAATTAAAACAAAAACAAGAAGTTTCTAGTTCAAGTTAGCTTGCTATCCTTAAATCACCACAGTTCTTCTGATTTACAGCACATATGGTACAATAACAATGTGGGAAGCCCACAGTTCCTAGAATCTCAAGAATAAGTGGTATTATTAACTCTGAAAGTCCTGGTGTTCAAGATTTCATTTGTTCATATAAATACTGTTTAATTATTTAAATGTACTGTAGCAAGGCTACTGTAATTTATTTTGATATACCAATATTCAGAGAATTCCTATCCGTATTTCTGTTAATTTCCTCTCGAAATATTAATGCTCACTATCATTAGGAAAGGAGCAATCATAGCAAAGTCTTAAATCACTTCAGCATAAAGGGTTAAAAAACTAAAGTTTTTTTGTCCTAAATATTCTTACTAGAATCCATTGTGCATGAAGAGGGTATGAGCCCATTTGCAAGACCTCTAAATGAACTCTATTCATTCTGTATTTGGAAATGTCTGTTCAGCCACAGTCACAATAGTTTCAACCTAATTTTTTGGCACCAATATCAGCTTATTAAAAGTGAAGAGATCATTTTGAAAAAATACAGTAAATTTCTGTGGCAGTTATATAATCTGAAGACAGGGAAGATATGTACCTTTGTAGACTAACTAAATAAGTTTAGACGGATAGATGGATGGACATGAGATTAAAACCAGTTTAAAAGAATATTCTAATTTAATAAAAGGCTTAATCTGTCTATCTGTCTGGCCATAACACTCTTGGAGCACTCTGGTTACTGAAACAACCAGTCAGAGTGATCCAAGAGCATTCCAGACAGGAGGTGGTGGAGTGCCACCATGATGACAGGGACAGAGTGGGGAGCCAAGGCCAGCGGTGCTGGCCTCACCCCCCTCCCCTGCTCCCTGGAGGTGGTGGCAGTATGGGGTGCTGGCTGAGGGGGATGGAGGGGACAGCGGGGCAGTCTTCCCCACCTCTCCCCCTGCTCCTGGGAGGCAGTGGCAGGGCTCCATTCCCTCCTCCCACCCCCTGTCATTCCTGACAGGCAGTTGGCTAGTACCTACATAATTACACTAAAAGATGTTAAGTGTTAAACTGAGCAGAGAGAGGTGGTTAGCCATACTAGTTTGAAGTCATTCAGAATGTTTGTAGACTAAGGGGGGGTGTAAATTAGTCTGTAATGGTGTATAGTAAATGCTTTTAACATCTTTTAGTGTAATTATGTAAGTGTATGCTTTTAAATTGATTTTAATGTTGTAGCAGGGTGGCCTCTTCTCTTGGTCTCTGCTGGCCGCCTGTCTGTCTCTAGGGTAACCTCTCACCTCGCTCATCTGCCATGCCTTGATAGAAGGCAGAGAGGTCTTGCTCCCCCTCTATGCGGCACTGGTCAGACCGCAACTGGAGTACTGTGTCCAGTTCTGGGCACTGCACTTCAAGAAGAACGTGGAGAACCTGGAGAGGGTCCAGAGGAGGGCCACACATATGGTTGAGGGCCTCTGTGGCCAGCCCTATGAGGAGAGGCTGAGGGACCTGAATCTCTTCCATCTCTGCAAAAGGAGACTGAGGGGGGAACTTGTGGCTGCCTACAACTTCATCAGGGGCCAGCAGCAGGGACTCGGGGAAAGTCTGTTCACCAGGGTCCCCCTTGGAGTCACCAGGAACAATGGCCACAAGCTGAGGGAGGATAGGTTTAGGTTAGATATGAGGAAGAACTACTTCACAGTAAGGGTGACCAGAGCCTGGAATAGGCTTCCCAGAGAGGTGGTGCTCTCACCTTCCCTGGAAATCTTCAAGAGGAGACTGGATAGGCACCTGGCTGAGGTCTTATGACCCCTGCCAGCCCCAGTGCTCCTTCCTGCCCATGGCAGGGGGTCGGACTAAAGGATCTGTCTAGGTCCCTTCCGACTCATTGATTCTATGATTCTATGAAAAAATTAAAAGTTGTTACTAAGATGGGAGGCTACCCATTTTCTTGCCCTCCTGATCTGGGCCCTGCCTTAGAGCTTACCTAGAGTCTGGGCTCCCCTTGTCTGATCTTGGTACCACCAGGGATGGGGGATGAGGTTAGGAGGTGCCCCATACTCACCTTTCACAAGGGAGGTAACTGGCCTGGCATTTCCTAGGGGCTCCCACACCACCAAGAGCCCCACCAGGCCAGCCTTCCCTGGCAGGGTGCAGTTTCAGGTCTTACCTAGGACCAGGAGCCTCCAATCCATCCTCCTAGCTCCTGGCCTTACCTCCAGAATGTTCTACATCACAACAGAGCTGGATGGTGCTGCTCCCTCGGCTGCAAGCACCCAACTGCTGGCCCTGCTTGGCTGGCCTGCGTTTGAAAATGGATGCTTTCATCAGGCACCTGGCAGCTGCCTACTCCAGCCCTTAAAGTGGCAGGCACCCAAAAGGTGCCCTGCCACAAATATTATATTTATTTTCTGCTTAATTCAATTTATTTATCATATTCATGTTATGTTTCGTAGTAGTTTTAATATGAAGCTTTTGTGTCATCTAATATATAAATGTAACTTGTTTACTTCATTATGAAAAAACACCAGTATTTATTTCTGGAACTTCCACAACAGTCTCCAGATCATACTTAGTTTAGTTTTTCTTTTCCCTTCTTCTTTTTCATCTTTTTTGTCTTTTTTCTTCTAAAATATTAAAATGTTATTTGATATTTGGAAAAATGGAAGACCGGCTATGTCCTTCTGAAAGAGCAAGACTACAGTGTTATCATCCCCGCATTAGCCCGAATTCTCATCTCACTGGGCACTCTACATGTTTATTAATGTACAGGCATACCTTGGAGATATTGCGGGTTCGGTTCCAGACCACCGCAATAAAGTGAGTATCGCAATAAAGGGAGTCACACAAATTTTTTGGTTTCCCAGTGCATATAAAAGTTATGTTTATACTATATTGTAGTCTATTAAGTGTGCAATAGCATTATGTCTAAAAAAACAATGTACATACCGTAATTAAAAAATTCTTTATTGCTAAAAAATGCTAACCATCATCTGAGCCTTCAGTGAGTCATAATCTTTTTGCTGGTGGAGGGTCTTGCCTCAATTTGTAAAAAACGCAATATCTGCGAAGCGCAATAAAGCAAAGCGCAATAAAACGAGGTATGCCTGTACCATAATTACAACATATTAGGTTTAGTACCTGTACATCGCTACTAACTTAATGCACTGTAATTGGTGTTACTGCACATCAGCGGAAATGAACACTTTTTTGTGATGCTTAATGTTCATTGGACTACTCTGCTGCACATTAGCTCGTTAGCACAGTTTTGCCAGCCATGTTACTGAGCAGTAGAATCAAGTCTGATAGGCATTAAGTGCCTTGTGTAGATGCACCCACTTATGCTGTAAGTCAGGCCATGCCCTACTGTGGCCAAAGGAGTTAGTGAGCAAAAATGGGCTCAAATGAGACCTAATGCTGTTTTGTTTAAACATGACTTGGTGTAGTGAGAGATTTTGGTATAGTGGTGATTGAATTTACAGTAACAAGAGTTTCATTGAAGGACTCTTGACAGGAAAAACAGCTATAAAGTGGGTGTGAACTGAAATGTCACTTTCCTCATACTCAGACATGAGTATGAGGAAGGTGACATTTATCTTATTTTACCTGACATTTTACTTTCTTTTACAACCCTCCTGTTAATAACTTTTTCTGCCAATTTTCCCTCATTCTTCTGTCCCTTTTGGTGTGCAAAATACATATTATGTACATCCAATTAATATTTTGGCAGTGTGCAGATTAAGCTGCTTTATTACTTGAACTTTGTGTTTATTGGCCAACTCTTTTATAACTTATACCACTTTATCAGTCACCTGTGAACTGAACCAGAAGATTTATATATGAATTGCACATATTTAAATTTGTAGTATTGCAGTGCAGTACTGACTTGGGACTCCAGGGAGGTTAACAAAGCAAGGTCCTCAGGATATGGTCTCTACCCAGCAGATTGCTGAATCAAGCCCATTCTTTTGAAGAAGTGGTATACAGGTGTTTTCATTTTTTGTTGTTAATTTTTCGTTGTGTAAATCTTTATACTCTGCTCATTTATAGAGAATAAATGAGGCACCAGGAGATTTACTTATAACTAGAGGTGCACCGATACATCGGTCCCATATTGGATCAGCACTGAGATAAGGAAAATTGACTGTATCATCAGTCAGGTTTTTTTGGCTGATGCAGCCAATAATGTCACCACAAAATGCCCCCATGTATGCACGCAGCCGCAGCGCAGCACACAGGTGGCCAGGAGTGCAGCCCATTAGCGTCCAGCTAGTAAGTCTGTTGTGGGGGAAGGGGCAAGGGAGGAGGGAAGGGGATGGGGGGGCAGATTGAGGCCCCTGTGGTGAGAGGGAGAGAGGGGCAGGGGCTGGTGCTGCACAGCCATGGCAGGGCACAGGAAGGAGGTGCGAGTGGCTTGTCTGGGGGGCACGCTATGGGGCCTGCTTCTGCCACTGCATGCACCCCAGGAGGGCATGGGGGGGTGCCCCCAGATCTGCATGCGGGGTAAGGCTGGGCTGCTGCTGCAGGCTAGCGCTGGGGCTGCGCCTGGCTCTTCCCAGTGAGGGGGCAGGCCGGCACTGGGAGAGGGGGTTGGGGGGGCTATGGTGAATTTTGGGGTGGCTGCAACCCCCCCCCGTAACCCTTCTCCCAGTGCCACTGCTGCCCGCCCTGAGCACAGCTGGTCCAGCCCCCACTGGGAAGAGCCTGGCGCTGCCCCAGCTCCAGCCCACAGAGGCAGCCTGCCCTGCTCCATGCGCAGATCCAGGAGCACACACCCCCCATGCCCAGGGGCCAGTGCTGGCCCACCCGGGAGCTCAGTGGCTCCTGGGGGTGGGTGGGTTTCCTGCGCCTCATCCTTGCATGCAGACCCCTG